TGCTTATTATCCTTGAATGAAAGTTAATACTTGATTTTAATTCTTTTATATAGTTTATAGATTTTTCAATAAAACTAATGTGTCTCTAAAGGCTTATGCCACGTTCTGCAAGACATGAAATGACTCTCGCCAACACCTTGCCTCTGAAAACACTGATGTCCATGGAAAGATTTTTAACATACCCTAACACCAGCAATTTCCTCAACCGAGACAGAGTCAACATATCCCAGATCATCTGGGTTAGGCTGGCAAAGCTTCAACTGTTGCAAACATAAAAAGTATATTAGGAAGCATTCAATACATTTCTCATAAAATTTCAAATTCTATTAAAATTACCATAGCAACAGCACCCGTTGTACGGCAAAATCGTCTCAATTCAAATTTTGAACTGATTTTCAGCACCATAAGCCTGGAATCAATAACCCAAAAAGTAAAACACTAAAATATCTCATGATCTCTAAGAGACCCAAATAACTTCAAGGGCGTATTGCACATTTAAGTGTGTATCTAAAGTCAAGTGCAACATTAGTAGATATGCATATATGTATGACAAGACAATAGAAAATGGATACTTACTTGTAACGCTCACAGAAATGCAGTGCCATCTCTCCAACTGCTGCTCCACTCACAATTACTTTCGCACCTGAATCAGCAACTGCTTTGATGAGCTCCTCAACTTTAGCTTCTTCAGTCTTTGCATAATTTTCTAGCTAGAAGATGCCAATAAAAGGCTTATTAGAAGCCATGTGAGACATAAAACCTAACTCTGCAAACAAATTATGGAAACAGAAAGGCAAAGGCATTTTCTATATCCAAGACAAGCAAGTTAGGAAGATCAAAATTAATATGCACACAACTTTAATATGCAAAGACTACAGTAACAGGCATCAGATATGATACTACCAACCCAAGAGAATGAACAGGTCAAAACAGTTAAAAATAAAACATACTAGGATCATTACAAAAAAAACCTGAGAGTTTAAAATCCCATCCAATACGAACAGTTAACACTTCTCAAAGATAACTGCAATCCAGAAGGAATCTTCTTTTTTTAAAAGTACCTGATCAGCAGTATGAATTAGGACAGTTCCTTTGGTCTCAGTTGCAGAGGTATCAACACCACCAGCAAACACAGCAACCTGAAAAGGGGTAAACAAATATACAAAGCTTAGAAACCCAAACCCATGAACCATACATTTACACCACATAAAAAGCTTGAAAGCTTTTATCATAAAGAAAAC